GTCGTCAGCAATAAATTCAAGGACATTTTTTTTCATTTTTTTTCCCGAAACTATATGTTGCCCTCATCTTTCACGCCACTTTTTGAAGTAAACTTGTCGTTACAAATTTGAAATAACTAGAATTCAAAATTAAGTCAAAAGAAGTAAGTCAAAACACATAAGAAGTAAGTCAAAACACATAAGAAACAAGTCATTATCCTTCAAGGGCGTAAGTAATTGACAGATAAAAATTTAGTTATCACATCAGTTTTGTACGTTTAACAACAAAGCAACAATTAATCGTTCTCAATAGATTACCTACACCTAGTTAGAACTAACCCCCAAAAAATCTCAAAACAAATACGTTATAACAAATAAGTCATAACAAGTAAGTCAATGTAAATAAGTCATAACAAGTAAGTCAATGTCCCTCCAGGGCTTCCGTACTATTAGAATCAATATTCTAAAATAAAAAAAATCTTTAAACAAAGTAAAATAATAAAAGTGTAACTTTTAGATAAAAAAAAACATTTTTTTGCAACAAAACCATGAACGACTCTTCATAGATTATTACCACTAATATTTCAAACATCTAGTAAAGGAGAAGTTAACTCTACATTTAGACATATATATATAAAATTCTCAAATCTTTTATCTCCAATAAATAGGTAAAATATAAATCCGGGAATGTTTACAAATGGAATTATTAATTTTATCATGCTTGTTTAAAATGAAAAGAGGTTTGTTTACAGTGATTAAAATTGTCTCCCTTGTTACATATGGTAGCACATTACTGCAAAACATATTTTTTTCAAATTAGTAAATATTTATTTCTAAAAAAGACATCTTTCGCCTTTATATATTTTTCTAGAGTTTTTATATGTTAATTAGAATACAATTTCCTGATTATAAATAAATAAAAAAAAATTCTGTTGCAATTTGTTTCGGGTTTTTGACAGATTGACTAGACTAATAGCTTTTTCAACTGTTCGTCAAATTTGACAAATTTTGCATTTCAACACCTGAATACTTTATTCATTTATTATACTTTATTCATTGATTTATTTTCCTTCTTTTGCACTAAGCACTTTGAACGGAGTATGTTGATTTTCGGGTATTTTGTTCTTTGACCTAAATCTGATGAGATAGAAATATAAAAAGCCTTTATACAAAGACTTTTATTACAAGCTAGCATCACAATTATAAGTGCAGCAGCTTGGAAGATGTTTGTTCATAGACTATGTATTTTTTCTTCATTTTCACTAATATTTAACTAAAGGAACTTTCAACATATTGCAGCATATTGGCAACAGTCCAGGTCTGATTCACTTAACGTGAAGACACCTCAAAGAGATGGTATTGTTTGACCCTCTATTTATCCCTTTCATTATTTATTCTAACATTAGAAGTAATTTGTGTTTGCTCTACTTCTTGCTTTATAAATTTATTTTGCCTATGAAGAGGAGGTAGGTATTGACAAAAATACCTGGACCTTGTTCGGCACAAACTCTTTATCGTCAATAATCTAATCATCTTCTTCCAGAAGATCAAGGGGACCAGATAATTTTTCCAGAAGATCAAGGGGACCAGATAATTTTATTATTTCGACGTTTGCCTTAAACCCGTGTGTAAGGAGGATACAAAAGTGAGAGCTTCAAGAGAAACAGTTTTTGCAAGCACTTTACATGTGCGGGAACTCTTTAACATTACATAACATTTTAATTCAAGTGCTAGGGACGACTGACGTTCAGTTATAATCTTTAGCTTCAGGATAAAACAAGTTGAAGGATGTTCCTTACGAGGCAATATATTCACGATTTCTAAAATGTTGTCCGTTTGATATATTTTGTTTTAGAAAAACGAGAGTTGAGAACTGTTTGATAAATTATCTCAGTATAATAAAATAAACTCAGTATAAGTTACAAGACATCAACATTTTGGAAACAATCTACACAACTTTTATCCCTAAAAAATTGTATGGAAGATGCATCTAGGGAAAGGATACTTGACAAAAATAAGATCCTGTAAAACATGTAGCTAATGTGTTTAATTCAAATATCAGAAGATATAAGGTTATCTAGCTTCTGGAGAACTTAGATAACTAGTTTTAATTGTAACGGGGACCGTTACAGATGTTCTCCAAACGCTCCCCAACTCCCTTTTTGTGCCATTTTCCTGTAAGATTTTCTTAAAATATGCTCAGTATCAAAGGATTTTATCAAAGAATTATAAAAACTACAGTGATATCAACTATATTTCATATACACGCACGCAAATGCAAGCACATGCAAGATGATCATGGAATGTTGTCTAAACTATAAACATATCTCTATATCGTGAGAATCAAAAAAATATCATAAAAATATAAATGTCACTGTTTTTCAAATACATTTGTGATTTTACGTAATGCGCATGCGCACGTGCATGCTTGCATATCCTTGTATTCAATTTTGATTGTACCATAATGTAGGAATCCATTATACCTATTCATATTCTAAATTTCATCTCGTTTCGTTGAGAACTTAGCAGATTATAGTCATTTAAAGTTTCAGCCAATCAGATTGCAGCACACGTGCATGCGCATGCTTTCATGATGATTCTTATATATTATGCTGTAGATCTTCATAGTGTATGAATATGATCAAAATTTCAAAGGATTTTGTCAAAAAACAAGAAAGATATTGAGACTTTAGTTTCAGCCAATCAGAGCGAAGCGCACGTGCATGCGCGTGAGATCTTGCTATTTTGATCATGTCATCATATTTATATTACTAATATATCTTCATATTATTAGTTTCAAAGCATATCATCTAAAAATAGAAAAGTTGCATCTATATCTATTATATTGGTCATTTCACGTGTTGCACGTGCGCGCTCTTGCAAGCTGACCTTGATTCCGCAAATCTACATAACATGTCTACTGACCCTATAAAGGTTTTACCTACATCGGATGAACAGTTTACAAGATCACTCCGGGACAAAAAAAGTACCCAGGAAGAAGAAGAAAAAGAAGAAGAAGAAGAAGAAGAAGAAGAAGAAAAATAATAATAAGAAGAAGAAACAGAGTAAAAACAATATGTTCCCCAACTTTGTTTGTGGAACATAACTACCACTTCAGTCTAAAATTTCTTTTTAGTGCAATTTTATTGGAACCAACAGAAAATGATCCAAGTTTTGGGATTTTAAACTTTATTTAGCATTTAAATTGTAAATTTTGACCGAACCAGTCTCGTTTTATTTGTAGGAACAAGACCGTGTGACATGTAAAGCAAAAAAAAAAAAAATGATTTTTAAAGCGTTTTTTTTTTTGTTTTCATTTGGATCTTTGTGAACTCAAATTTAATTTCTTTTCTCAATTTCCAATTTAGGGTACATAGGTAAAAATACATTGATGTTTTTAGAATAAGAATTCAAATCCTGAAATTTATCACAAGGTTCAATATACATGTATTTAAATTTGCCCCTCTATAAACATCATAAGATTCAAATACCTATACAAAAAGCTCTACAATGCTGCCTGCCATATTACGTTTTATTTGAAAGGATTAAGGTGATGAACATAAACTTTGAACAGTATTTATTCCACACTATGAGCGAGGATATGTATCAAGTTTAGATCACGTTTGCAACATATGTCAAATATATCATCTCTTATTTCAGACGTTTAAAAACAATCTACTAGTACAGAGTTACGGAATATATAACTACTTTAAAAATTTAAAATAAAAGGATATTGATTAAATTTAAGCATTTATAATCATATGTGAAACAAAAACTTCTTGTGTGTTGAAAAATGATGCTTAGATTTACAAGTTGTTTTTTAATATTTCTACTATTTCGAGATTTAAATGGGTTTGTTACAAAGGTCTCTAGAATGCGGATGGAAAAAATGATTGCAGATATGAAGGGATTTATTGAGAAATTTGGACAGAAAATGGCTGAATTGGAATTGCAGAACAGTATACTTGATCAGAAAATTAAAAAAAACTCTCCATGGAAAATAAATTGATGAAGAGGATATTTACTGACGTAGCCAAATAAAATTCCAAACAGAGAAAAGAAACAAGTAAAATGATGTATATGGTGGCTGAAATACAGAAGTCATTGAAGAATTGTGATGTTCAAAAAAGATCAAACCTAGCTAGGCATCATAATGCAAGTTTCCAGAGAAACTGGTATAAAATCCCAACAATCAAATACACAAATTTTGACCAATCAAAAGAACTTAATTTCTCTGTAACCCGAGGGACCAGTCCGCGAATGCGCAGAAGTGCACAAAGCCTACTTATGAGAGGTATTTTAAGCTACCTTACTTCTTATTAAGGTTAAAAGTTCGAGAAAAAAAAATTCTTCATGAATGACCTTTCTCTTATTAGACACTGAAGACAAGCAAACGGATTTAAGAAGCTGAAGGAAATATTTTGAATTCTGTGTAAATGTAGTTAATTTTCAAATCTTTTGGATAAAAAGAATATTCTCTGAAGAAATTATCTTCGTTTCTTGACATATTCATGTATATAATCTCGATATAAATAATGACTTTAAGGCAAGCATCGAAGCTTTGTCGCAAATATTTTTATGTATCGTGTAGTGAAGTATTAGATTGAAGTTTGTTTGTAATTTGCAGTTTGGGTATTGCAAAATTACTTGGGTTTTAAATAAGAATTTATATGATGAATTTCACAAAATGAGATAAACGTTAACTTTAAAGTTAGATGCCATTTTGGCCATTGATTTTGGTTTCAAATTTTGTTTGTAAGCTTAGGAAAACGTTCCTTTAAAAGACAATATTTTTTTTCAGGAAATCAAATCTCAAACGATCAAGTGGCCTTCTTTGCTTACATGTCAAAATCGAGCTCTAATAATCTTCGCCAGAATCAGATTATCGTTTTTGATTACGCAGTTATACAAATATCGGGAACAATTACAACCCACATAAGGTACCTTCTCTGCTCCATCAAATGGTGTATATGTATTTACCTGGAAAATATACGTCAATGGAGGTACCTTTATCTATACAGAATTGACTGTCAACTCCCATCACGTGACTGGGCTGTTTGTTTCAGCAGAAAGCGATGGCAATAGAGTAGCATCAACAGATGTCGCTGTGGTACAGTTGAAGGAAGGGGATGAAATACACATTTGTTCATCACCAGGTGTCAATGTCAGTGCAAAAATACACAGTGCGCGCTGACATCGATCCACTTTCAGCGGTTGGAAATTATTTTGAAAAAAATAATCAAAATGTTATATAATATTACATATGTTTTATGGTTCTGTTTTCTTAGCATAGACAAGATATGGGTTTTTAGATCGACAAAAGGAAGATATGCAACTCTTCACTGCAATTAATCTGTCAACTATTGTTATTTATTAGCAACCGAATTTTTTTATTTTACGTTTTGACACTTTATTAAATAAATATGTGCAAGGAAATTAGCTTTACTTTCTTCGTTGAAGTACGAGAAATACAGATAAGCAAGCTTATAATAAACTGCAAGGAATGCTTCTGTTTTGTTATAAACATCAAACTCCTTAATACCGTTTTGTGTATTATACAGGGTGTCCGAAATTGTACACTACCCCCCCCCATCTTATTGTGCCTGTTTAGGTGAAAATTGACCCAGTGATTCTTGAGAAGTTTAAAAATGTGAAAAGTTTACAGACAGACGGACGCACAAGGGGCGATAAGAAATGATCACTTGAGCTTTCAGCTCAACTAATTAGCTTACAGATATCAAACGAGTAAGTTTATAATTTGATAAAGATAAGAAGCGTTTAGAAATTTTAAAATATATACATATATAAATCAAAGGAGTGAAAAATACAAAAAAAGTGAAATGTTGTATTGTTAGATTTATATAACGTGCAATTTTAAATTATGTACAATTATAGTATATCGTTTAAGTGACTATATATGTACATCAATGATTTTGGATCAGGTTTCTTCATGGCCTGAATTAATAAAACGCTATCATGTAGTTTTAAGTTGTCATGAATTATTAAAAAAAAAGTAATTATGGATAACATAAGTTGGGTTTGTGTGGAGGGCCCATGAATATATTTAAAATTTGAACTCCTATGAAAATGCAATCACAAAATCAATATCTCTACTCCATTAATTATGAACAATATACAACATGACACATGTATCTACTTAAGTTTGTTACCACCTTGTTTGATTCCAAAAAAACCTTTTATTGCCATTCAAAAGTTTTTTTCCATAGCTTTTAAAAATAGTTTTGATTTATATATTTAAAAAAGTACTTATTTTACCTATTGAACAAAGTTTTTGAAACTCACGTGCTTACATTGTACTTTCACATATACACATGTACTTTTAAAAAGTCAACGAATAAAAATTTATATGGAGTACAAACTGTAACTTTACTTAAATTCTTCATCCAAATAAAGGATCACTTCATTATAAATAGGGATCTGACCTATAGGACCGGGCTTGGTTTTTTTCTCTACAAAAAGATTGTCGATTTCTGTTCCGATTAATGACATTAGGCTAAATACAAATAAAAACTTGTTTTTCCTGAATTTTTATTTCAGTTAGTAGAGGTAGGAGGAATCCTTTCATTGATTTTCTGAGTTTGTTATCTCCATATGTACTAACTGATATTTGTCTTTAATTCTCATGGTTATAAAGGTAGTGTCTACTGTCTCTGAAATTCTGTTCTTCATGTCTAGGCCATCTATCCGTGGATATAATAAAACATGCCATTAATGTGTGCAAATTATATAGGCCTAAATGAAATCCAAGGGAGTGCATTTACTGAAATATGTAGCCAAAATCAATGTAATTTAATTATAAGGAATATATACAATTGAAATCCATTGCAGCTCAATGCTGCCAAGAATACCTGTATCGAATAACACAGAGTGAGTTATTCTTGTCCTCGAAGAAAGTGTGCTTATACTATGGTTCGTTCCGCCTGACTGACAACTGTACATTGGATTGTTACGATTTTATATCTCTTTAGTGTTTCTTTTATATCAAAAATGGGCATGCACAAAGGATAGATAATTGAAGGAAAAATACACAAATCTATATAAAAAAAATCTAAACAGTCTTTGAAAAGGCGAAATTTAAAAGTTTAAAAGTGTTGTACCAGGTGGATTCGAACCCCCAACTTTAAAAAGAAAGTATCCAAGGTAAAAAAATTCAGCGCTTATATCAACTGAGCTAGTCTGACTATAAGAATGAGCGGCATAAATTTCAAGCAGGTGATGAAAATCAGGTTTCCTTATTTTTTGTAGTTTTTTTTTTATGAATTTCGACCCCAGGGCAGGGGTGCCCCTAAAAAAATCTTATCTTAATTTATTCCTTACATCATAACCTATCAAAATATCACAATTTTATTTAGGGGCAGTCCTGCCCTGAAGGACTTCAAGGCCAAAATTCATGCAAAAATCAATGCTTTTATGGACAAAATGTTGTTTCAGTCAACTTTGGAGATTTTTAAAGTTGTTAATAATTAATTTGAGGTATCAAATACAAATTTGAAAAATCCAGACATATATATACGGTAGAAAACAACAAATAAAAAATGATTTTTAAATGTCTTTTTTCCGGGAAATTATTCTCTCCTATAGGTCAATTCTTTTGTTAAAGCGAATACATCCTTTAAATTGCCAGTTATAATATGCTGAAATATCACTTATTGCTATTAAGTTTAAAACAAATTATTATGCTAGACTATACTAAGGCCAAAAAATATAGTATCCTTGTTTCCTGCTACCAGCCTAAAAAAATAGGGTTGTTAGGTAGGAATATTATTTTATTTCTTTATCTTATTTTTTTTCCAACGGTATTTTTTGGATATAAATTAATACAAAACCAAATTAAATACATCATAGGTCAATATTTTTATCCTTTTAAATGAAATTCCATGTCTTTTGATGCACAACAACTCAAAAGGAATTTATGAATGAAAGTCCATATTTAAAACTTGAATAGAATATATTTTATATTATATATTTTTGTTTAATTTTAATTTTATTTTATATATTTTTGTTTAATTTTGAACATGAAAAAAAACTTGAATATATATATATATATATACATATATTTTTGTTTAATTTTGAACACGATATTCCTGAACCCCCCCCCCCCCCCCAATTAAAATAAAAATTAGGGTCAGATGCAAAAAAAGGTAGGTCGGATAACACGAAACAAGACTATTATTTTTTGGCCTAAAAGACAAACACACATAAACAATTATGTTTTAATGTGTTTTTATTCGTATTCTGCATCAATGTGATAAGATGTTTCAACTATTTCGGAACTAATTTGGCCGACCTTTTCAAGTAACCTCTCGCATGATCAGTAGTTATGACAGAATATCAATTACATGATTTGTTGAGAGGAAAATGGACAAATAAAAACTTTTAAAAGCAAATGATCCGCTAAGACAAAAGTAGATAAATTAAAATTTTTGCAAAGGAGAAAAAGGTCATTGCCAAAGCTGCATATTTTTTAGAAAGAAATTTATCGATAATTTTGTTTTTGGTACAGAGATTGAAAAAATTTAGCCATGGGGTTTATGCTTCACAACTATCTGATTCATCAGTAGAATCAGAAATTAAAACATGGCTTTGAGAAGATGTAAGAGACAAAAATTTGCTGCTGAGGGACCTTCCGTCAGAGGGAAAACCTCGTGTGTGTGATCTAGCATAGTCCTCGTTCGCTAGATTAGCTATGAACATCACATCTGGTGGTTCATACCCTTCACTCTGATAAGCCAGCACAGTTGCTCTCAGACTGTGGGGCGCGTACCTATTTATTACACCAGCATCCTTGCATATTTGAGGAAGAACTGTTCCAAACGTTCGCTTTGCTATAGGTTTTGCCGTAAACCATTCTTCATTTACGTCCATCCAAACATATTTTCTGTACTTATTGAAGAGCCGAATTGCAGTTCTGTCCGTTTTCTCGATCATTAGTTTAAGTAGTTTTACTGGACATATACCACCGTCTGACCCCATAGCATACAGCCTCCTTTTCAGATGACCCTTGGAAACTCCGTGGTTGTCTCCTAATGTCTCAGGTTTAATTATTGCATATTCACCAAATCTATCGGTTTTAAATTCAAAACTATCCATTTTCAGCTGATGAAAGAATTCCATGTAATTGGTCACATAATGAATGGTCAGAAAATACCATACTGCCTGTCGTAAGATGACGGCAGACTCGGGTGCTTGTTGAAGGTAGGTAGATATTTTCTTCAGGTCATCAGGGTCAATCAACGGTGGCTGTTTGGTTGATTTTGCTAACCCAAGTCGCTTCCTTTCCTTGAATAGCCCTTCCAGTATTCCATTAGAGGCACGAAACTCTTCTCCTTTAACAATGTCAATTTGTCTTTTCAGATCAAAAAGGTGACGGTTAATGGCGGACCGGATGCTTCTTAAAGTGTTTTTCTGATAGATGGTCTCATCTGCGTTGTTGGATTTAGGCCTGGCCTCACAGTAAAATCGAGATAGGAGATTGCATAGCGTGGAGGGATCTACATTCTCCATGTCTAACTCTTTCCCAAAACATTCTTTGTTCCAATCTGAAAACAGAAAGTAGAATGAAGACAACAGTCAAACTGACTTATAATTTAATAATAACACTTAGATACTTTAATTGATGTTGTTTTGCTCTGGAGATGATGTTCATTGTAGACAAACATTTGTAAAGATTTGCACTCTGATCTACGCTTTCAACGTAAATTCAAAATTCCTTTATCAAAAGGCAGAGGCCACAAGTTTGAGCCACAACACTCGCCTGACTCATACATATATATGGCCCTGTTATTTTTATTCACAAGATTTTCTTCTCTAAATTACTCTGAAAATATTGGATAACATATCGTGGTCTTATTCTTCACCATGGGGTAATGATTAAAACATACAATATATGAGTTTGGTAACACGGATAAAATTTTATGTATAATATCATCCCCCGCTCCTTAGGATACTAATTTCTCATTTTTACTAGCTCTGTTCAGAAATGAGTTTTCCAGCAATCAAAAGCTGTTGCCGAGTCACAAAGCAACTAGGGGTATGGTGAGGGAGGGGATTCTGCAGGTAAGGGTTTTAGGGTCCCCCCAAGAGAATTATGGAAATAGAGCGTCCCGGTTGTATTTTGGGATTAAATTACTGTAAATGTATTATATTTAGCGTGTACGATTTTTAGCGGAAAAT